TCTCGGACTAAAGTAAGAAAATAATTATATATTAGCAAAGGAAACAATTCGATATGGACATAATGGCAGTTCAACAACAATTTTGTAATATAAGCTTTGGCATCTGCAGGAATTTTGTCCGGGGTGGGAGGTATATATAAGCAAAAACGAAAGAGACTAGATTAATACTGCACAATGGATCTTTGAAAGGGCTGGAGTGGGGCAATTGCCCGTGTTACGGACGCTCATGGCACTCCGTCACAAGGAACATCCAGTATTATAAATATATCGCTCATTCGGATACTTACATTAATTACCGTCTATACAAGTCAGGTCCAAGAGAAAGCAACAATGATCCTAACATGTAACATAACACAGGGTCTATGTTGTATCCAATTTACAAGCTAGTATATACCGTTTTAGAAATTCGTCGCTTTTTCTTTGTTATGTGTATGTTGGTAAATGTATTTTACGGTTTAGATCTTTTAAGAGATTTACCATTATTACGATCTGATTGATCTGAACTGGTTTAATTCTGACTCCAGAATGGTGACCCACAGATTAGAAATTCGATTGCTACGGCAGGCATTTTACTTGACTGGGTTTCTAATCACAGGGGTTTGTAAGAAAACAGACTGGGTTCATCATCGTAGAATTTGGGGGGAAAAAAACTAAGCTGGAACAGCGCACAGTCTAGACCGATAGAAGAGTCAACGATCTTGAGTCATTAGCTTTTATCCTCAACGGTCTTAAATTGCAGTATAATGAGCCAAACTTTAATTAGTTGCCAAATCAAGGAGATGCGAGAAAAGTCGTCCGTGGTGTTCGATTCCGTAATTAATATAACGAAAGCACTAATTCGATCGAGTCGCACACAGTCAGGGCATTGGCGAATTTTATAATGCAATACTGAGCGGTAGATTAATTACCGCCTTTGTGCCGCAGTAAGTTTTAATTTTGAAAACTGCTCGGGTGGTTAGAGCGTCCGCCTCGTGGGCCGAGTCATACCAGAGACTTATAAAATTGGTACTAATAGCATCCTCTCTTGGCGCTTATCATTATGAGTTTAGTGTTAGGACTCGTCGGCCTCGTATCAGGATAATGTAACTGAATGGGACATCCTTACTACCTGTCTGCAGCATGATGCCTGAGTGCTTTACATCACCACTGCAGACATCGTAGCGACATGAGTAAAAAAAAAAAAAAACAACAAAGTTATGTTAAAAATCCAAATCACATACACTTTCATAATAACACACATATAAACACATACAACCGCACACAGTCTTATAAAGAAAAGTATCTAGATAATTATTATTGCATTTGTATGGGAAAATATGAACGAGTTTTTCGGATGGATACACTATACTACCTTGGGAGTGCAGTATATCCTTCCGACAAAACGAGTTTATATTTTCCCATACAAATACAGTAACCTTTTTATTATATGCTCATTTCTTATTCTTCCCAAGGCTTAAATATATAAACAAAATTACACTGAAAGAAACAAAGTAACTAAATGTACGTCGTATTCCGAACTAAATACATAAGAGTTGATGCATCATTACACAACATTATTAATGAGCGCATAACTCCGCCTAGATAAATATGAAGTTGATCGCGCGCTAGACGTAAGTTTCGAACGAAAATGGCGCTTGCTCTACTTAAAATTGAAGTTTGGAGTAATATTGTTGATGAATACGCATTGCAACAGCTTTTCCGTTTGATCTGGAATGAATACCTTTTGGTATATATGTCGATTCAAGACAATTTTTTTATTATGGTCTGGAGTTATCTACATGAAGTGACTTACATCGGTTTCCAGCAGCGTCTGCCATTTCAATGTTTTGAATTGTGTTGACATCGGCATGCGTGTTTCTTTTCAGTCATTGAATGATTCAGATCACAATGTGGGGAAAATTATGAAGACTTTCCATTGCAATTATCGAAAACACGCTGTGGAATTTAATGTTTATTTCATTTTGAGTGCAGTAAGGAGGATGTAGCTACACTTGGAATATACTCGAAATTACAGCACAATTTCAAAATGTGTAATCAATCTTGAGAACCCATGACATGGCTCATCTAATTCAGATTTACAGACCTACGAAAATATGTTTTGAATAAATTCAGGATGTAAAATTGTAAGTATATTTTTGGCCATTTTTGCTAACAGCTAAAGAAGACTGCGTTTTATTGTGAGGAACCTGTATAGCGTCAATATATAGTTAATTTTAAACATTGTATCAAACAAGTAAACGCGGATTGTGCCAAAGCAGTTTGTATGTGTCAGTCTATGAAACATTTGCTGGTATGTGGCCGTCTATGAAACATATGCTTTAGTTGATTCATAAAAAAATTTGTTTACGTTAGAAAATAGTTCCTTTGCACGTGGGAGATAGTATAAAGGTGTTCAATATCGCTGAATATTGCACGATTCTGACAATGTAAAGTTAACGGAGAAAAAAGATGAGTATATAATAATGCAAGTTGAAGAGAAGGTTCAGTATAGGGAACTCGAGTGGAATAGTAGTATAAAGCGCTCTCCGTTACGGAACACTGCCATCTCACCTCTGTTTGCGTAGGTTCGAGTCTAAGATTCGGCGAATGTGGATATTTGAAAAAGTTTACCAGTAGCTTCTCGAGGGTCGGTGGCTCATTCCGGGGATTTCCAGGTTTCTTCCTCCACCATTAATACTGGCCGCGATGTATAGCCAGCCTATCGTGTGCTGAAAAATGGCGTTAAGCCCCCAGAACAGAACGAAACAGAACATAACAGTTCTGAATAAATCTGTCGTCAGATAATATATGCTTTTCGGTTTATTTCTTCTCTATCCTACAAAAAGGATATCTATATTTATGGAGCTCAATGAAAAGAAATATATTATTTCGAATAAAGGAAAAACATCAAGAAATCTTTAAAGCCCAGGATATATTATGTCTCAGTACATACTATGGGTAAGACACGATGTTCAAAGGTTATTATTGAAATATTTCATTCATGGGTCCTTTCATAAATAAATCAATTACAATGATCTAATGTTAAAATAGGGGTGTCGGGGTGTTACGAAACAAATTAAGAAGGTATGCGAACAATAAAAGGAGTTTATAATAAAAGCAAGATGCCTATCTGCCGTTTGGATTCGGATCTACACCAGTTTTTACTAAGTGTTTAGAATAGTCGACCTTTAATCATACCTTTAACGTAAGAAGCATCCTTCAGCCGGACTTACCTGTAACCGTAATTACGTCGTCTACCTGCAGGCGTACCCCAATCGATACCCAAAGTAGAAAGAACTGTCGTTTAATTCCATCTCGTGGATTAAAGCATATGGGGAAACTGTGGGTATTAGCGATAAAGTGAAAGCTTTCTTCACCCCAAAGTTGGCGGACGTCTGAGGAACAAAGGAAATTTTCTCCTTTGATCTAGCCACTGCTCTCGTTTTAATGTTCTGTGAAAATGAATTATTGGATACGATAATGTAGAAAAAGGATATAGCTAGCCCCAAAACATGGACAGATTTTCTAACGTTTACAATCATACATTTTTCTACTGTTTACAATAATACATTATTTTAACGTTTACAATAATACATTTTTCTAACGTCTTCAATGATAAGTTTTTCATTTGTTCCAAGTTCTTCTCTCTGACTTGAATCTCAACAAACGACAAATGCCATCTGTAATGGCTTATAAATCTTAGTCTAGCTGAAAACAACGTAGATCCTCATTTGGAATAGCATAATAGGCCTGCTGATCAGAGTCTGTGTTGTTTGTTCTATTGATTGCTCCTTACAAACTGCACATATCTAGCTCTACCGGCGCCTTATGCCACGATTTATTTGGTCCGTACAGTTTACAGTTGGACTGGTTTTATAAGCTAGTGTAGACGGAAGTTCTAATGAACCTTTTAATTTTGCGTAGAAGATACAGATTTGACAAACAATCTCTGCTAAAATATACTTCAAGGTCACACTTTCATTTACTCATGTAATTTCCACTTTTATATAGCCATTTGATCAAATAATTGTATACAAGAAGACAAGTTCAAACCCACGTCCCTTCGTTCCTAATGGCGACCTTTTTGTATCCCTTCACTGATTGCTCTCAACAGTGATTTTCAGAATCGATCCTTCCTTCTACTTTTGAATTAGCTCACCTTTTCACGAGCGACTATTTAGTCCAGGATTTTGCCCTTGCAGGTGCTTATCCCTCTCCGGGCAATATTCGGATTAAAGGGGATTAAAACAAATAAATTATCAAACAATCCTTTGGACTAGTAGAAATTAATAAGGTAAATTAACTTGGACGAGAAGACCATAAGACACCTGCGCGAAAAGACCGTACTGGATATTAGCTTCGGCCGTTTGGTCCGAAATTTTGTCTTTAATTGCTAGATAAAGAGAGTTTATCTGGTTTAATCGTATAATTGCATATTTGCTCTCGGGAAATCGCTGTCCTCCACAATCTGGGTCATTTTCCCCACAGCAATAGAAAGCGCGTGCATTTATTTTGAAGGCTTCCTATGCGCGGGGTGGCATAGAGAAACCCTACCGGAGGGTAAGAATTTTTCGACGGGAAAGAATCGTTTTCAGAAATTATTTTCCTGTGGTTTCTAACCTGGATAGACTGGTGGGAAAAGGTGACAGCACATCGTCAGCAAGGATATTTCCATAGAAATAGATTAAATAGATTTCCAATTTTTGGACGTTTTTAGGACCAACGTTTAACGTTCAGTGTTTATGTCTAACAAACAAAACAATTGAGTTTTAATGTTGAAAAAGCCTCAATTATGTTTTGATGTTAAAATCAATTAAGTTTCGATGCCTAAAAAGAACAAGTAAATTTTGACGTAAAAAACAAACAAAAACAAGTGCGTTTTGATATTAAAAAACCCAGATGAATAGACATATCTTGAATAGGTTTCACAATCACGATTTTTTATCCTCCTCTTTTAGCATAATGTGCATGACCAACTAAATTGCATTGTATTTATGAAGTTTGACAAATCTTTCTCAACCGCTTCGGTGGCCTAGTGGTTAGATCGTCTACCTTGGATGCGGGAGGTCGTGGGTTCGATTCCCGGTCGAATCATTCCAAAAACTTGCAAAAATGGTCCCATCAGCTGCCTCGCTTGACGCTCAGCATTAAGAGGTTAGTGTTATGACTGGTCGGCCTGGTGTCAGGATAATGTGTCTAGGTGGGACATCCTGCTACGTGACTGCAGCATGATGCCTCAGTGCAAGACATCACTATGAACTGCCACACTGCAGACATCGTAGAGATATGATTGAAAAATTGTTAAAGCTACGTTAAAAATCATAATCACATCACATAATCACAAATCGTGTCTCCCTTGATCTCAATGAAAAATGGGCGAATTTACATCAAAAACAATATGCGTCGACACAACTATATCGTCAGATATTTCAAACGACAAAAGTCAAGCTATAGAAACGTGGTAATTGTGCATTCATAATAATGGACTTATTCAAAAGACTTTATTTAAAGAGGGTATGTGTTTGTGGAGTTTTCGCGTTGAGGAAAACAAAAACATGTTAAAAATATTTTCTAATAAAAAGAGTAAATATACCTTATGTATTTGTGCATAAGACGGATCAAATTGCAAACAAGATAGATCCCGACCTAACAGCACATATGTGTTTAACAGTCTTATTAGTATTAACAACTGCAATGGCACAGGTTTGCCAGCGCGAGTACATAAAGTACACGTCTGTCAGTAATATAAATGTTTTTGAATATACAAAGAACTGATGCGAGCATGATCCGACAGAAAAGAAGCAGGAGAGATATTGATTTTAAATAAAATAACAAACGAAAGAGTATTTAACAAACTAAGAATGGCAATCAATAAATCTTCCTTTAAAATCAATTAATTTATCATAGATGTCATCGGCAGTATGAATCAATCGAAAGTCGCTATTTGTACGTTAAGATAGTTGACTGACTCGCCATTTATTCATACAATTCTTTTAAAGTCGTAAAGTACCGTTATGTGTAAAAAGTCGTATATTTCAAAACGAGTGAAGAGTACCAAAATAGTGAAAAATACTGGTTCTAAACATTTGATGCTCTTAAAACAAAAATGCACCGACCTTTCATCATATTTCAGGTTAACAACCTTCTTCCTTAATTCGAAAAACGCAGCTATTTAAATTCACATGCTTGCGAATGAATCCGATCTTGTTTGACGAAATAGCGGATCAACCGGTTTCATACAAAAACTGCAAATCACAGTGACGGGTTCGTTATACCGTTGTATAGTTTTGATTGTAGAAAATGGGGTGGGGTGTTTCCAATATTTATTTAGATGTGGTACCCACCTAGGCTCGATTACGGTTCAGAAGTTGGGTTAGTGAACATTGGTGTATAGCTCTGAGCCCCCAGTCAACAATGCCGACAGATAAATAATAAAAATACTAAGGGTGTAATTAAATAACACAATTTAATTGACAATCAAATATTCAATCACTCGAACTTCACAATGCGCTCGACCCTTTGAGCCTATCTCATCATATGAGTTATAGTGTTAAAGTTTCGCCCTGTCATTGTCTCCTGATTCTTTCCGTTTGTCTCTCTGGGTTCCTTCTCGTACTCCTCCTCTTTCGCTCCTCCCAGCTACTTCTCCTCCTCTACTTCCCTTGTCTATCTGTCGACTTTGATTTGTCGACTCTGACTGTACTGACAGTTCCTCTCTCAGAGGAGGGAAATATCATTTCTTTTAGTTGTTTACTATAACATGCTAATATCTTCTGTAGATGTATTCATTTGTAAGAACTAGAAGCGTCCTAAGATTTTCAGAACATCTGTCGTTTTTTTATTATTTTGATATAACATAATTTCTCAACACCACTAAATATGTTCTCGTTTATTGAGTCTGTGTGTTTTATGTTTATTGACCCTTTTGATAAATTTCTTGTCCGGTTGGTTGTTGGCACTCCACTCAAAGTTTCCCTGCCTATTAATTATATAAAAAGTGAGGCTAGAAAATTGTAGGTTTTAATGTCAGTGCTCCCTTATTTATCAACAAGCTCTCCAATGTGAACACAGTCTTTTACCACGTGTTACCTATAGTGTAGGCTTAATCGTCCCGCTATAGTTATAGTGTATAGGTGACAACTTATAAAACAAGCAGCATACAGTACTGACCATTTCAGGGGTTTGTTACGGGTGGTGTGGGGATTGTTGGGGGTACTTTGCATTTCAACAAATGTATTTTTTATTTATCATAAAAAAATTTTGTTCTAATAATATAATAGCTACAATATGGTATTAATTTGCTACTAATCAGAGTTTGATATCTTTCTAGCTATTTTTTATTTTTGAGAGCTATAAATGTATGAAAAGTATCTAAAGCCCCTGCCCCATAATATTAAATTGCTGGTTCCTAATATAATTGTAGTATAACACTGGTACGCATCCCTGTTGCTCGGAAATACAGCGGTATACCACGAAACAAATAGTTCGTGTTACACAACTCTAATTGTATATCCTTAATATATCACTAAGAATTGAGCCAATTTATGTATATATTTATTTTGTATTAGAATATATCGGGTATTAAAATTATAATGCACAATTGGTCTGTATTCAATTTGTTGTAAAATTTTAGAGATATGCCTATCGTTTCTATAATCACCCTTTCCTATAATAGTCCATGTGAATCTCCAATTATACAAATGGCTTTTGAGACAAAATCATTCTTACTATAATTTCAAAATAATTCTGCATCCTCTACCTTCAGTGATAATTTGCCAGGGTTTGAAGTGTAGATGTTTGGATAGCATACAAATAAAAAGAGACGGTTCTCAAGGAACACTTGACATAGTGGGGATCAAGGTCGGACAACAAGAAACAGTACAGAAAAGTCTGTACAAATCAGTAACAAATTGTAGCATAGAATTAATTTTGATCTTCAGATAAACATTGACGGTTTATCATTATATTGCAATCCAAGTCATCTTATAACCTGAAGAACAAATTAACTATTTATTTATTAAAATGACATATATCTTGCTCTATTTTCAGGTAATTAATACTTGTAAAATATGCATTCCAGGTAATTGATACGTATAGAATATGCATTCCAGATAGTTATTACTTATAGAATATGCATTCCATGTAATTGATACTTATAGAATATGCATTCCAGGTAATTAATACTTACAGAATATGCATTCCAGGTAATTAATACGTATATAATATGCATTCCAGATAGTTAATACGTATAGAATATGCATTCCATGTAATTGATACTTATCAAATATGTATTCCACGTAACTAATACTTACAGAATATGCATTCCAAGTAATTAATACTTATAGAATATGCATTCCAGGTAATTGATACTTACAAAATATGCATCGCAGGTAATTAATACTTATGGAATGTGCATGTTCATTAATTCATATAAATGTGCCGTTATAAGTTTTTGATCTTGGTAGGATATGATGCATCAGTCACCTAATATTTCCCTTTCAATTAAATGAAATGTCTTGAAAATAACTTTTATTCATACATGCAGTTTCGCATACCTAAAACATCGCATGAATAACAGCATTATTTATTTCATTTCATATTATATTTTGAATGATATGACGCTCTTTCCCCCTTTAATGTCATACTTTAAAAAAAAAAACAATTCACTTTCTTATTATGCAATTTCTATTCTCATTTCTTCCAATTCTGGTACATTACACGTTTATGCTGAGACTATCACTGGGAACTAAGGTTAGTTGTTAATTCTTGTGAACAATCTCAATATTAGTATGGTCTTTGTGATAACTTATGTAGCTGTAACTTTATAAATGCATTTGTATATTGGACAGGCAGCAAACGAGAGGATGTCATTGCAGCAAAGAGTATAGTACCGCAGATGCCCTTCAACATCACCGAACCAGTCGAGTGCCAACCACTCAATGGTTAGCCATCCTCCATTGTTATCTTCCAGTCCTAATATATTGTGTGTATACTGCAGGATTCAAACGTCATAATAAAGAATTTGCTATGGCTGCATTTAAATTTTGCAAGTAAGATTTCCTGTTATTATCAAAACACACCCCAAACCCTCCCACCCACACTACATAGCAGGAAGTACCTTTTGATCCACAGTGTGTATTAATAAAATAAATTATAAATATTAGAAGATCTAAAGTATTGTTGTATACATTAATTTTTCATCTGTCATTTTGGGGTCGTCATACATTTAATTGGTTTATTCCACTTGCAAACTTTTCTTCAGAATTCATATATCCAAACTGCTACGTAGGACTAGCAAAATATAAGTGACGCCACATTTTGAACTCTACTACAATCTTCCAGAAAATCTTGTTTTTTATTTTTTTTTTCATGAGAGTTGCATAATTCAGTAAGTCTAACGCTGTTAGAAATCGTTGAACTGTCACTGCATGTACTGACAATGTTTTCCTGCATTGTTTATTATAAAGCTTTTTTAAGAGTTGACTAAACTAGAATTGTAAAATGAAATCGTTTTTAGAATATGCTACCAGACAGCAAACACAACTTGAAATGTTACCTCTATGATTTCAACACTGACGCATAAATTATATGTGCATTTGAATAATATTTGCTTGAAAAACAATAATCTTCTGCTTTGGTAGCTGCATGCCATGATGAGATTCTAATGTTTAATGCATTGTTACATCATACTTCTATTATGTCCCACCTCCCACTCACTATCCTGCACAATCATGTCAGAACACCGACTCAGAACCCAAATCCATTTCATGTCTCTCTGAATAAACATAAATTATTGGCAAAAATGATTTGATATCGAAAGAGTGAGATTTTTTTAAAAAAATCTAAATCAGTGAGACTTTTATAGTTTGACTTTTGACACCTTATAGGACCCCCTGGGGATGAAGCTAAAACTGATGGCCGGTTAGCAGAGTTTAGCAAATTGTTCAGACAGGGCAAGATAACCACCATATGTATTGACTCTCTCTCTCTCTCTCCAGTCCCTTAATATCTATAAAACACGGCAATTTACAAAGGAATGGAAAAATGTAAAGTGGGTGAAACAATATCCCTATGGGCATTTTATTATTATTATT